CACAGAACTTAGAAGACAGAACCTACACAGAACCTAGAGACAGAAGAACTTCGCTGGAGAGAACATGGCAAAAGATCCTGGACAGAACCTGGCTACGGAACTTGGTTGGAGAACCTAGACAGAACCTGGCTGAAGAACCCGGCTACAGAACCTGGCGACCGAACCTGGCTGGAGAACCTAAACCGAACCTGGCTGGAGAACGTAGCAAGAGAACATGGCTACAGAACCTGGCTGGAGAACCTAGCAAGAGAACATGGACACAGAACTTAGCTGGAGATTGTGGCTAAAGATCCTGGCAAGGCTGCTGATCAACTGAACGCTGTCTCTGTGTCATTCCTTCTTCACCGACTCCGTCCTCACCTTTGGGGACCCCTGGACCTACTGGGGTTGGACCCCGGCACAGGGGCTGCAGCAACAGGGAGGTAGCTCGTTTGGTTACCACTGACCGCACTGGAGACCGCCACAGCGACAGTATAGACACAAGCAAGGAAAAGGCCTATTAAAAGCAACCCAAGTGTTAAAAACCATTGTTTCCGCCACGTTCCCCAGGACCCTAGGAGTGCGCTAATCGGTCCTTGGCCTTGGGCTGGATCACTGGGGGCATTGGAGAGTTCATCCGTGTTTACAAAGAAGGGACACTAGCAGGTGCATCGGGTATAACACACGGCTGTGGGTTGGGATGATGGCAGAGGTGCCTCCCTGTAATGACGCCACAGCAACAGCGGGAGTCTGAGGTCAGAAAGACAAATGTCTACAGCAGCGGTTCTCAACCTGTGGGCCGCGATCCCTTTTGGGGTCGAAAGCTCTTTTTCTAAATATGCGATTTTTTCATTCATCTGAGAGGGAGAGGCGAAGCGTTGGCTGGAGGATGCACGTGGGAGCACCCGGTGAAGTAACAAAGGAACCTCGGGTAGGAGGGCTAGCACGTGGCCTCTGATAACCAAGGGCACCTACAAGGCCATCCCAGTGCACAGCTCCCACCAAGGCCACCGCAAAGGACAAAACGCAAGCCCTAGGCTTTAGGGCAGCGGTTCTCAACCTGTGGGTCGCGAACAATGAAAATACATCCTGCGTATCAGATATTTACATGACGATTCATAACAGTACCAACATTATTAGTTATAAGTAGCAACGAAAATAACTTTATGGTTGGGGGTCACCACAACATGAGGAACAGTATCAAAGGGCCGCGGCATTAGGAAGGTTGAGAACCGCTGGTCTACAGGGACTTGAACTGGGAGATCACAGCCTTAGGTCTGCCTGTGGCTGCAGCTGCAGCCCAGGAACCTGGCCAGGCTGTGTAAACCGTGTTGGCTGGAGAGGGGATGCTCTGTCGTGAGGTCAACAGCAGGGGACGTGCCAATCCGGGACCCTTCCTCCCCCTCTCAATGGTGCAGGTACCAGTCCCCATAGTGTCTCCATGGGCCCCCTTGGGGACAGCCGTTCCCCCCCAACCAGGGGCATCAAGTAACTGCCCCACTGCAGATACCAGTAAGTGGTCCCAGGTCCAGGGGCACAGGCTTGGTGCCTCATCAATCCTCTCAGAACAGCCCAGCGGTCAGACCAAGATTCATGCGTGACCAACCAGACACTGTTACCTCGGCCTGTTGGCTGCTGTGACGCATTTGTTCCCACCCAGGGTACCACAGATGGTGGAATGCCAACTGCCATCAGGTGGGCGACTACCCAGCTAGAGCCATCCGTGTACCAGGCTCGGCGAACTTCCTGCTCCTTCTTTGCAGAGGCAGGGGCGGGAACATTCTGAGGTTGGGCCTCGTAGATGCTGTGGGTGGGGAGGCCATTTAGTGGGCACAGGTGACCGAGCTGTGGCAGGGCCGGCCAGTGGAACGTGTGGTCGACCCACCCCTTGATGGCAAGTTCTCCTCTGGCTGCTCTATCTGGTGCATCTGATCTCTGCCCCCTTTATAGTTGGGACCAAAAATCCCAGGGACACGAGTTTGACAGGTACCTGCTCTCAAAGGCAGCCTGTGGTCCCACTCCCGTCCCCATCCCCTCAGCTAAGCCAGGTGAGGGGTGAAGGCACTGTGCCAAGTGGTTTAAAAGCTCGCTGACACCCCGGAACCCCCACAAAAAGCCTGTGCCTCTACATGTTTTTGGTCTAGGGCAGGTTTGAACTTTTTCTGACAGCCTCAGGGCAACACAGGCCTCACTCCAACACTGGACTCCCCAAGCTTTTACGGCAGCGCCAGACCTTCTCCTTAGCAGAGCCCACTCTTCATAGCACCAATGCCAACCAGGCAGCGACTCCATTTCTGGGGACCAACTAATGGGAGTCCCACAAGAGGCCTCTGATCACCGCCACAGCCTTCACTTAAGGACTGTACTTGGCCCCCGCTCCGAGTGTCGCTGGGGTAGCTGAGGGTGCGGGATGAAACTGCTGTTCAGGTCTTCCAGCCTCCCATGACCCTGACACCGCTTCAGGCTGAAGATCAGCCTCTTCCCTGTGAGGGGAGGGCAGCGGATGGGCGACCACTTAGCCTCCCTTCCTACTGCCTTCACTCTCCACGTTCGTCTTCCCGCAGCTCAGACATGGATGGAGACCCGCATGTCTTGTCCTCTACGGGGCTCAGCGTGGAGACACGGCACTAGGGGCTCTATGCCGACTCTGCTTCCACTCCTGCTGTGAAAGTGGCCCGGCCAGGTCCCTCCCACACCGGGCACAGACTGCCCCGTGCATGCCCAGCTTTAAGAATGTGCTGTACTTCCAGGGCCACACTTGCCAGGCCTCCCTGCAGGTCAGAAAGAGCCCCTCTGGATGTGACCAAGCAGCAGCCATATCATGGAAGTCTCTACTCCACACCCAGGCCCCAAGCACCGGGGGAGCAGCACCACCCAGCGCAGTGGATGCTGGTACACGAGCAACAACAGCCAGAGTCTGGAACGCCAGGCCAGAGTGCAGGATCCTTCCGCTCCCTCCCGTCACCTTCCTGTGCAAACATCCAGACCTAACAGAGGCCTGGGATTTCTCTCCTCACTAGCCTGCTCCAACCAGCCCTCACGGTCTAGGTCCCTTCCTGTATTCCAGGGAACAACTTCTCCACACGCAACCACAGCCAGAGAAGGCGGACTCTTCTCCCACAGAAAACGGAGGTACCGACCCCATCGAACGCTAGGCCCAGCCCTAGGATCAGACACGGGCTGACAAGACAGATCCTGCCGCAGGTTTATTTGTACAAACAGCACAGGAAGACACCAGCGCCACACAGACAGTAGCCCAGGGGGCCCACCAGTCCTTCCGTCCTCACGTCGGCAGACAGAGGCCTCTACTGTGGAGCCTTCGTGGGGGGCTGGGCACCTTTGGGAGCAGGAGCCTGAGCCCCTTTGGGAGCGGGAGCCTGAGCCCCTTTGGGAGCCTGAGCTGCAGCCGCCCCCGCAGCCTGGGACTTGGTTTCCGCCTTGGCCTTGGCCTTGGCCTTTGGCCGGCCGGGCCTGC